TTTAACTTGCACAATTTACCAAACACCAACCACAAAATACAACACTGTCCGATAACCCCTGCATCTGACATAACACGAGTCACTAACATTTTACAGTAAGCAATACAAACGATAACATTTCCCCTATTCAACTAATCAGATACAAAGGAAGTTCGTGATTCTGCGCAGAAAGTGAAGAGAAGTTATGATACTTACCAACAAATCGTGCTAAAATAAATTGCATAGCTAATGCAAAGGTCTTATCTTCTTTATTTACAGATCTGAAATCAATAACAATCCAGCATCTAGAATTGAAAAACTTATAAAACTACAAAGCAAAATCAGTGAATATATATTATGACGTCAATATATTATATAGAATTCTGTGTCAGGTTATTATCACGTATATCATGCCATTTCATTCACCGACACTTTTGATGCAACTTTTTGACGATGTAGTACACAACGTCTTTCCTATACGTTGTTTGCAACCTAGTAAAGTAAATTTCTCATTCTTTAATATTACCTGATAGTGAGGAGAACAGTTGGTACATTCCGAATCGTGGAAGATAAAGTATATAGAATCGTCATAATAACATATGGAATAAAGTACGAACACGACATACTGTGTTGACACGCGCCCCCTATTGCCGTTGGTGCCAGGGACGTTCCATTTACCGTAGATTTGTTCGATTGTATGCAGCGACATTCAGCGAATGTCTGTAAATCAAAATAAATTTGTATTATCTGTACGGTTCGTTTTGTGTGTTACAGCGACATATGCCATATTCCCTTTACTAAACAAGACATAGGGTATATATTGTGGGCGATGGTGGTGAGATCATAATAAGTGGGTTATAATTTAATATAAATTTGGCCATTCCATGTTCTTATTACAAATATAAATTAATTATTTTTAAGTTTAACATATTATTTCTAATTACAAACATAATATGTTCCCAAAATCTGCGTTACAATTTTTATGGAGATTGCGTGATTCGCGATATCGTGACAATATACCTCGCTGAAATGCTAATTAATGTCACTGTCTTCTGTTATTTCACTAATACGAATATGTATAATAACGTAATTGTCCATATAAAGCACGCATTTGATCGTTAAACGTTTAGTTCCACATTGTCAATTGCAAATAATACTGTTCATATCCTACAATATGTTTCTTCTACAACATACAAGATTATACCTCTAGATTTATATTGTTCACCTTCAGCACACATGTTGATATTTAACTTGCGACAGAATAAACACAATACATATTCTTGCATTTTGTTTTTTCTTCTGGGGCTTATGTTATCCGCAAGTGATCAGCATACGCAATATATTGGCTATACAAAAATAACTAGTACATGTTATACACATTTGAAATAAAAGAAAAACAATAATATTCACACACAACTTGATGTCTCAGCTTATGGGTCATGTCAGGGGTTAAAAATAGTCACCTCCTCCTTACATCGTTATTCATATCAATGTTAGATTGAATGCATCAAACATTCAATAAAAACAAACGAATTGTATACTGAATATATAATTTTCTGGAATTGTATGTCTTGCTGATCTTCATGTAAGACTCGCACTCAATTCTTTGTTAAACAATAATTCTTCTTACCATATTGTCATATTGTGTACAACCCGCATGACAAGGCGATTTATAAGTCACATCATCAGAACCACACACAGGCTGATACAGGTCAGATTGACAATGGCAACTCGCTATGCAGGCCAAAGTCCAGCTTTGATCGTCTATTCTGAAAGTAAACGATGACAAAATATTGGAATACATGCATTTATTAAATGTGTGTGTTGGAAGTTGTGTCAGCCTCGTATATCATCTAGTGGTGACATATGGCAGATGTACAACTTACTTAATATCAATTCGATAAGCATACCCTTTGTTGTTTGTTACAGCACTGCAACCAAACAAAAATGACAAACTTAATATGCCGGATACACCTATTGCAATCATCATAAACTTTGTCAACGCATCTTCTTTTATTATTTTGAACCATTTAATAATATAACCACCTAAACATGCTCCAATGCCGTATGGTATCCCGAATCCTATTCCTAGACAGAGGAGAAATATTGTTAAGACTTAAATGACATATTTTTTTATGAAAGAGCACTTATTGCATGTACTAGCGGGTAATAAAGTTCGAGCTTAACATATCAAAAGCAGTTTTTCACACAACAACACCAGTCGACATGGTCAAATTGATGAAGGAAATATTATATATGGTAGTGGAGGATTGTTGTAACTCCTGTTTCTAGCACAATCGTGCTAGTTGTGGCTATTAGGCTTGTCTCAAACCAAAGATGCATGTTGTAATATTGAAAAAAAAGTGTTGTTAATATTATTTTATATCCACATCACCATAAGTTACAGAATACCATAATTTATCGGTATTGCATGGGGTATCTGCATCATACCATATTAGGAAATGCGAATTCCAAATAGGGAACAATTCCATGGTATTTCCAAATGAATTAATAGCAAGAAATTTTCACCATTTTGCTCATTTCTGGCCAAACCATAACGGTTTGATTGACATTAACGAGTTTATAATTTGATTGGAATCATTTATATGACATGATTTTGCAATGTCCAGAGATTCGGTCAACAACAAAACAATATAAAATTAATTGTAAAAAAAAGTCAATATTTGTACTTACCTGTAGTCAGATTTGCAACCAATGGTGTCATGTAGAATTCTTCTTGGATGAATTTAGGTGTAAAAGCCGCCAAGCCGACGCCTATACCTAAGTCAATTGCAAATACCACTGTAACCAACATAAACTGTGGATTCACCATCAGATTGTACAAAGGTTGCAAAACATCTACAGGAAAATATCATTATTTAACAATGTATCCCTATTTGCATTGGCTTCCATCTGCATTTTTGGTTTAGAATATTTTCATAATTTCGAAACTGAGTATATAACACATTTTCGATTTTAGAAAAAAATACTTAATGAGTTACTGTTTCGTGATAAAATATTTAAAATATTTATAACCTTGCTCCACTTTAAAAACACTTAAAATATAATTTGCATAATGTATATTATATAATGAAAACACTAGCAGTTTGTACTTTTATTGAAAAACATTACATTATGTGCAAATCCTTGTATTTTCATTAGAAACACGTATTGAAAAGTGTTTCCACCAGGAACATGTATAAAAATGCTTATTATTACAACACCTTTAAAAGCGGTTTTACTGGACAGACATTTTTATAGTGCTTCCACCAGGAACATGTATAATATATGCTTATTATCACAACACTTTTCAAAGTGGTTTCACTAGACACACATTTTGTAAAAAGTTTCCACCGGAAATTTGCATTGATAATGAAATGTGCTTTCACGCAAAACACAGTCTGAATGTTGACACATTTTAAAATGTATTTACACTGATATCGTGGTAAAAAATCATCAACATTATCATTTTGGAAAAATATATCAAATGATGCGTTTTATGATCAAGCACTTTGCAATGTTGTACAGTAATCATAACATACAATAAGCAAATCACACAAGTCAAATGAGTATTTATTCCTATATATATACATTAAGGATGCGGTAGATTTATCATGCTCTAAAAAGTAAAAACTGTTTTCATGAGAAAAAGTAATTTGAAGCATAGCAAATTATATATTTTCTTGAAGCCCTTATTCCTGGCTTTTTGAAAAAAATGATCTGCGACATGTACCACGAATTAGTCACGTGATTACTAAGTAAACATAGTGGTTTTGTATTTTTTTTGTTAATTTCACCCATAGACATAGAATTTAAAAGCCTTTTATTTTTCATTGCGAGGAGTTATCAAAAAATGCTTCAAGGGTTTTATTCTGTGCCAATACGTTATCAATGTGTGTGAATTTCATGAAAAGTAGGTTAATTTCTGACGATACACAACTCACTTGAATGACCTCTATGGCGTCAGATTTCTTCTGCCTGAAAACGCCAAAAAACAAAACATTTGTCACGTTGCGCTAATTTTGGACATTTGAAGCATCAGATTGACTGATTTTTACAACAAAACACATAACATGGAGTAACTTAGTAGCCTTGCAGTATTAAAATCCAAAAATATAAAGTTTTGGGCCCGTATTCGTCCTCCAAAAAGAAGCGAAGTTGTTTCAGTACAGTTAGTCATCTCATTATATATTCAAATCATGTTTACATGCGAAGCGTAGTCTGTAAAACAAACGCTTGCCTAGTAACCGGAGAAAGAGGTCGACATGCCTAAACGCCAACCCCTAGTGCTAATTAACTCAACAACATCCGACGTTATGTCTTGTTCTAGCTGACACTCGGCTTCCACCACAACTTCGGAAACGGCGTTCTTGTACGGACCTTTGTCAATGGGTGGCCCGGCGGCAATCCCATATAAGACACTAGTTTTTTCAAACCTCGCCGATCTCTCCCAACTGCTCGTCCAACCAAAACAGATTTTCGGTTGATATTAAATTGTCTGCCCGACTTTTTGGAAGATGGAAATTGATCATGTTTTGCTGACGAAATTTTACCTTCTTGGTTTGAATACTCAAACTTGAAGTGTGAACCCCATTGTACTGTCGGCAATGCGTTTCTGTTCGCTTCTTCTGAACTGCGTTTTGAGTTTTTCCTTGGGTTCTTCTTTTTGTGTCATGATAAATCTTCGAAACAACGAAAAGATGCAGCAGTCGTAGTAGAACTAGAGATTTCGTTTCTGTTTGTTCGCAGTGATTGATCAGGAGCCGGAGTAGCCCTGAGTACAGTCATGTAGGTTGGCCTCCTTCCGCTGATAATTCGGCCCCCACAGTCCTGAGAAGTCGCATAGACCGAGGATTCGACACTATTGTGAAGGAATGCATCGGGCGATTTAAGAGGCATTCAGCTTTGCAGTTAAAAATTAAGCAGGTCGATACGTCCAACTATTCTAAATACCCTAACTGGAAGCGAAATTACATAAGAGTTCCCACTGGGGTCGATCAAATCGACATTTTCTAACGTCAACCGAAAATATACGCCGCCATCTTGTTCTTGACGTATTTATTAACAAAACGTTGTTTCGTTGCGTAAAACTTGCTTTCGCCAACGTTCCAGTAATGTAGGTTCATTTTTCGGCCATAAAAAAGGCATTTGTGATCGCTAGATTGGTCGATGGATGTTTTAGCTGGTTACAATTATGAACACTGCAGAACTGTTCTCCGCCATAAATTTGTGAGCGGGTGTCAAATCCTCGGTCTATGTGACTTTTCAGTACTGTGGGGCCGAAGGATCAGCGGAAGAAGGTCAAACTACAGGACTGTACTCAGGGCTAGAAGCCGGAGTTGATATGACCGCGTCGTCTTCAGTGTGCACTGTTTCCGTCGTGAAGGGATTATGCAAATTACACAATAAGTCAATGTTATTGTTTGCGTCCAGACTTTTATTTATCTCAAGAGCAAAGTGTACAGTATCCCGTTATACAAGTAGTTTTTCTTATTTAAAAAAAAAGTATTTTAGATGTGTTTCAGTTTTAATTTTAATAAAATTATGAGCCCAATAACTTTACAAGAGTAATAACTCTTCATTAACAAAAAAAGCAAAATTCACGAAAATAACTCATCCTTAAGAAAGTTTTTCGAGTATAATATTTAAAAAAAACATACATATATAGTTATATATAAATACTATCTATCGCATGAAGGAGTGTCCTTGACTTATGAGCAGCTGCATAAGTGTGTTTACTGAAATTCATACCTTTCGTGAAACTGTAGATACAATACCCAATAATAACATTGACAAATCAATACAGATGAGTAACGAGCTGAAAGGTACAATTAGGGTATTCCTGAAGAGTTTAGCTCTGTACATAGAAGTGCACACAAAACCACCTGGAGCTACTAGAGTACATAGTCGAGCTCAACTAAATAAAAGTGGAATATCATGTAACTTAACATAGAAATGTTTGCAAAGCTTAGGTCAAGTAAAGGGGGTAGGTATGGTACAATTATAATAAGTGCCCGATACCCTCTACTTTACTAAACCTAATTTACGCACACTTGACTTAAATTCAATTAAATATTATTATATTACGAAAATAGTGAGGGTCGTCACTTGGTTGGTGTAAAGTTAAATGAAAGTCGTCATAACGTTGACACCACAAACGGATTATTGATTATTTATTGATTAATGCCAGTGTGTTCTCAAAATATGTTTTAGTTGAGTGAGTTATTTCTATTTTTCGGACTTTATTTCAGAATAAATGTATATTGCAGATCCATCTTTAACAGCTCACTGCACTGTCTAGCATTTCTACCCGTTACTTTAGTAGGAAGCTGCTCCCGCATGTGGTTCTGTCGAGGAATTTTGACCGTTCACTCAAACATACCAAAGACCTGATTACTGGACCTATGTGAGCTGGACTATCTTACCTGTGCGAGAACAAGAGCTGTGTTGAATGTGGTGGATGTAAGCCACTGTGATTATGCACTTCATGTCCATAATATTCAGGGGTTGATGATGTGGATCATCAATAACTACCAACGCTGTCCATTCTCACATTATGCAATAAGCCAAGTGGAGTTCGTGAGCCAATTCAGGTGGATAACCTTCCCACCATTAGAGGAAATGAAGGTGGCTATCCAAAGGGGATGAAGTTTGGAAGTAGACCCAAAAGATGCTCTTAACATACAAGCATCTTGACAAAACCTACGACCATCATATTTCCAACCTCAAGGTAAACTACATTCGGACATTCACATTGATTGACTGCATGCAAAATTGGACTTATTCTAGCATTTCAGTATATAGTTTTACTCGGATTCCCATTAAAATTACACTTCTATATACATATAATTGTAACTAATTATAACACCAATGTGTTCATCACAGTGCAAGTGAATGCATTTAAATGCCAGTATATGCACGCAACAAGTAGAGATGATGATTTGTTAGTATATTAATAGTCAGTGAAACAATGTTATTTGAACACTACTCACCCTTTAACGTCGTCATGAATGCCTGTACTGATGGAATTGATTTCTTTTCTCGTCTCTCTTTCTTGTTATTCTTGTTGGTAATTTGATACCGACGGACTTCACAATTTCTGGTCAAATGTTTCGGTATCATGAATAACGGAAATGCCACGAGGACCATGAATGGAATAACAACGACAATTCCCAGCCACCAAGCACCAAGCCATGACGGTGTCATTGGTTTCAAGTCGGCAGTATCCATATTATTCCTGTTAATATCAATGTACACATATGTACTGGCCCCGGCAGCCATCAAACCAATGATAGCCCCAAATCCCCACATCATATTGACAAGTCCTGGAGAAATGATGAGAAAAAAATGAGGCAGCTTAAGGATGCTGTATTCGTTTTTGGTACTGATTTTCTAAACTGATATTTCCATATAAAATATTAAATGAGTCACACAAAGCTAAATGGAGATCCTTTTTTCACACTGGATGTGAAATCAACAAGATGTGTGTGTATGGACGTGTATGGTCACGTGATCTCTGTGTAAAAACAGAAAAAAATAATTGAACCAATGAATAAACGAATTTAGTGAAACATTTACAACAAAACAGTTTTCAGACAACGTTCGTCACCATTCACATATATCTACATCATAGTTGCGAAGAAATAATAATTTAGCTATCTTGAAATCACAATGCAATCTGGTTCTTTCCGGTATTCAGATATTAGAGCGTAACTTCGAAAATAGACAAATCCCATAATCGCTTGAGAGGAAACATATCGAAGAGTGTCTGTGCGAAAAATTAGTATAATGCGTCTACGGTAACCCAAAATCAATTGCCTGCAGTTGTCGTAAATCGCCTTTTTGTTTAACCGCGAGAATGGCAAAAAAACTTATCGGCAACGTGTCGTCTGCTAACTCTAAATCCGTGTTTCCCTTGGACCAAAACTAACTCATACCGACTCGTCATGGTCTCTGTCTATCAAAATCACGCAGATGTGTATACTGTAATTGGAGTAATTATTCACTGGGTTTTAATTTTGCTTATTTCGCTGACTGGAAAATGCGCTAAATTAAAACACAGTGAATATGTAAAATTTAGCATAGAACACATTATCTAAATGACGAAACCGTGAATTTAAAACCCACTGAATATGCCTGAAATGCTAAATCAGTGAAATTTAAACCCAGTGAAAATTAGTCATTTTACAGTATATACGGGGGTCGCAATTTGTAATAAACTACGAGATAATGCTCCCGAAATCAATCAATAAATAAATAGAAAACAGTGTTTCACGGCGTGACAAAGTTGTGCTAAACTTACGTCATGATTTACATATCATTGTTACGTTGTGGAACGAGACGCTCCTTTGCTGGAGGACTCAATACCATACATTGCCCTCCACGGAAGGTCATTCTCTTGCTCTGCTGGACGCACCATCAGATCAGAGTCAACTAGTTTTCTTTCCAAGATTTTGTTAACCACGTGAGATGTTTGGACGAAGATTCTATTATCTGACTTGAATGGCAATGACGGGCGATGTCACATCAAGTGTTGAACTGAATCGTGAAATGCTATCGCTTGCCCGTTTAAAATTGTCTGTCGATCGAATGGTGAATTTTCAGTTCCTTAGCGCCGTTATTATTTTGTAGATTTGTAAAATAAGCTGTTCGCCATAAATCATGTTTTCCGTTTTTAGTTCCCAAAACTACTACGACAAAATTAGTGTGATGATTCTTTCTCTTGAATGCGTAATACATATAGTACCGGAACAACCACTAGTGGGAACTACTGCCGGTATTTTACATTCAGTTCACTTTCTATATCAGGTATGACAAATCCAACTTTATTTAATCAAGTTATTAATTGAGAATGTGAAGATTAAAAAAAATAAAAAAGCCATGCATGGCACAGTCCCCGTTAGTTATCGAATTTAAGATATATAGTTATATGTTATAGTAATATAGCTATAATATAACCATATCAGGAATATGGTTATGATGATTTAACATTAAACTGATTAACATTTGTATCTGATCGTCAAACAAGTACTTGTCCACATTGAGATATTGCCCTGGAACAGCATTAATTAAAACAAAATCAGCCATTTTGAATACATGTATATATCTATAACATGATGTATAATGAATATATAACATTTGAACATAATTAGACAAAGCATGTCAGAGATATGGTTTTAGAAGCCCATTCATTAAAACAAAATGGCCGCCAGTCGGATATTTTGAATCCAGTCTGAAAAATAAAATGACATGCACCAGGAACCCGTAAAGTATGTACCAAGTTTGAACGAAATCCATCCATAAATGCTTGATATTTGATGATTTTTTAGCACAAAAATGGCCACTATTCATTAAAACAAAATGGCCGCCAGTCGGCTATTTTGAATCTTATCTGAAAAAAAAATGATGTACATCAAAGTCCTACAATGTCCAATGTATATACCAAGTTTGGACAAAATCCCCCTGTAAAAAGCTGAGAAATACTTAATTTGGATGATTTTTCAGTACAAAAATCCCTGCCATACATACATCTTGAATCAGATCGTGAAACAAATTGATGTGCATATGTATAATGTAATGTATGTGTGAAGTTTGATTGTAATTGGTCCAGGCATTTCTAAAAAAAACAGGCACGGACGCACGGACACACAGACGCACGAAGGTCAAAACATAAGTGTCCAAACGGGGACTGATAAGGATGCTCACACACAGACGGTATGTTTTCTTTTACAGCTGCTTGTCTCAGGCTTTCCGTATGAGTGTACATTAACGACTTATTGTGGCCGGGTGTCAACGAGTCCATGACACATTAGTTGGTCATTAGGCCAGACTTTTATTATCCCGCCGACATGCAAAAAATTGCTTGAAAAAATTATTATTATCTTTATTTTTTTCCGTGAAAATTGTGCCCCAATTGGCGACATTGCAAACCAGGTTAAACATAGAATAAACATTGATTTCATTTCTTCTCTCCGATCAATGATTTCACAATTCTTTGAGAATCACACAAATCTAAAGAAAAAAAAAAGAATTAATTATATTTTTTCCCGTCCTCCTTAAAAAAATTTACTTATAAAAACTCGAGAAACAAGGAATAAAAAACGTCTGGCATTGAGTCTGCCATGTGCTCAAATTGTCTACCTCTATGGTCTGACCGATTAAATCATCATAACGTTCTTCTCCAAATTTCTTTCGATTCATTTTCTTTCCCTGTTTCATAGTCGACTACAAGACGTTAGTGTGAGCGAGTGTGAGCGAGAATTCCAATGAAATTAAATTTGTGGGCGCTCGAAAATATGGGCGATCGTAAATTGAATGCGTGTATGATTGAAGTGTAACTTGTCCTAAATTCGAGAGACTGTTTATATTTGCTATGGGTAGTGACCCCTGGGGGCCACTCTATATGCCGTTACTACCCCATGTGCGCTCCAAATTTAGCGGGGAAAGGGGGTGTTTTTCACCTTCTAAAGCGGGCGCGCGCGGGAGGCAAATATGCCCTCTTCAAAATTATATTCTCCAGGAATAAACTCACAGGGTTGCTGCGGGCGCTGTAGGCCCCTCTTGCAACAACCACTCCCATACACCGCCCTAAGCCAAAGTTTGTTTGAGTTGATCACACCCCACTTGAGTGAGGAAAAACCGGCAGAGAATGCTCGCAATAGGAGTAGGATGTTCTCAATATATGTTTGCTCTAAGGGGTACTAAATTTACAGTGCGTCGACAATAAGGGGTATGGTTTGGCAATGTGCTGCCATCTTTAAGGAACTATTATTTTTTCAGCAAGAACGCACATGGTGTAAGGTTTTAGTATAGAGTGACCCCCAGGGGGTAGTGACTATTATGCAAATTATCTGTCTATTAAGTTTGTTGCTGATTAGTGGCTTTCAAAACAATGACATGTGCTTTTGTTTTTAATTAACAATAATGGATTTTTACACCCTATAAAAACAAGCGTCGTGATTTATTGAGTACATTTTAATCACTTCAAAATATGCTCGACGTACAGTATAACGCATCGCATTTATAATGCTTTGACAACATTGATGTGGTTATCTATATTTCACATATTCACATATGTTCAGGGTATTGCGCTTTTTGAAAGGCTTACTCTAAATGTGTGAAAACGAATAATCCATATATAGCAGCTTCAACCGTATTCGAATTTTGCACTACAATTTGCTAGCGAATTGGCTAACTGATTGGGCTTTGACTGAACAGTTGGTTTTCGAATCTCGCTGAAGCCAACTTGTTACCGCATTCACTCTGGGCCTGGCAGTGCCGCCATGAGGTCGTTATAATACTGATTGTGATCTGTAGGTGTCGTCAAAAATGGCTAGTTTAAAATATGATTGAGCTGAACAAATCTTAGTCTGGGAAACATATGGAAGACTGGCTGCCATTAGATGACAATAGAGTCAACACATGGAATGGATTGTGTTTCGGACTGCTGAATATCAGTGGTGATGATAGGCATGATTCATTGATTGAGCTGTCCCAATTGATATGTACTCCTTTGCTTGGAAGAGACTGTAATAAAGCAGAATAATTCTCTTCTGGCGATGATTCGTGTTCCATGTTTCTTATAGTAATATTTACAATCACCACAGATCATCCTGTTTTCATCTATATGACCTCTGTGGAGGCACTTTGGGAATACTGGGGTTTATATCAACCCTAACAAGTGGAACGAGCTGTACCACATGTAATACACAATGTATGTGTTTTATAGACTCTAATACAAATCTCGTAAGCTTAGCATGGCATGGCACTGAGTGGAAATGAACGGCCATATTGTCCGGTTTATTTTCTTCCTTCATGATTGTTTTGGCCACAATGTCAGGCTATGACTAGTATGACTTTCAAATTATACATACTATTAATCAGCTCTGTAAATTAATCACTTATCCCACTATCGCACAATAATTAGCCAGTACTTCAAGAATGCTTCGGTAAAATCCAATAACTCAAATAAAAAGTGATTGAAATTATACAAAAATAAACTCACCGAGATATAAGGCCGATGTAGTGTGCTTTGCAAAATCATCTATAAATGAGTTTCCAAGTATTGTAGGACTATATCCAGCCCCCGTCATCAATGCACCAAATACAAAATATAAATATGCTACATAACTTTGTTGAACATTAACTGTATCTTCTGATGTTGAACTTGTTGTTTCATTGGCTAAATCTTCTCCACTGTTGGAACATAGATGTATATTTATTATTTTTTCAGTCACTGTTTCGTGCATGTATTCATACGGACCGAGGGTTAAATGTGGCAGTATAGATATAAATAATCCTGCCGCAACTACCAAGGTTCCAATTGAAATCCATCTTGGTCGATGAGCGTTGGGTCGCCCACAGATATAACCACAGAACAACATAGTGACAGGTGGGCCCACTTGGTACATACTGCTAATGGTACCAAGCTGGGCACTATTTAGATTATATCGCTTTTCAATTGTAGTCAATATACCTATCTTGTATCCAGCAATAAATCCATTGAGACCAATGACGACCATCAGGCAGGCAACAAAAAATCGAATATCACCAAGACGTCTCTCTAGCCAAGTTGGTTCATCCAGCCTCTTTGTCATACCACCATTGTTCGGTGACTCATCATATTCTTCATCATCATTGGGTTTTGATGTGATATCAAACTTGATTTCACTGTTAATTCCTAATGGTTTTCTGTATTCACTCATTTTAAAATCGAGACGGATTGTTTATGAATATTATTCAAATCAGTCATTTTTTAGTTATTTGTGCTGGGTGTTATTATATATTTATGGTAAATGACATGCACTGCGTATTAACAACACAGATGCCAAATAACAGCGGTTTAGTATAATATAGTCACCAGTTCAAAACATACGGAAATAAAATTGCATTTTACAAGTGATCACACCATACTGATGCTGTCAGAATGAAAAGTGCGTTATGAGAGTTGTTATAGCAATCGGTGATTTACTGGTGCCTAAATATTATTCAAATCAGTTATTTTGTAGTTTTTTGTGCTGTGTGTTTATATATAAATAAATGATATACAAACATGCAACACAGATGTAAAATAACAGACATTTTACAAATTCAAACTATACCGAAAAAAGGTTTACAAGAGATAACGTCTCATTGGTTTCACTGGCGAATCAAAAAGAAAAGTGATTCATGAGTGTGTTAACTACGTTATATGAAACTAAATCACAGCTGTCAACCTCTTACTTGGGTACACAGCATTTGCTGAATTGGTTAATATAAATATAAAGTATAATTGCGAGTTCAATGGACAATATTCTATCAGTGTTACAATGTATATATATATACTGTTATTTATAACAGGGGATTATAGTGATGTTATTTACAGTAATTGTATTTTATTTATTTCATCTATCTGTCTTTCGATCTATCTATCTGGGTGGTCGGTCGTTACAACCCTGGTGTGAGTTATAATGAACACTACTTCTCGAATATAATTTACACCATGGTCGTAACGACCAACCTGTTTTGCAAATTAACGTCTAAAACCGGAGCCAAAACGTCCAGCTACCAACAAAATGGCGACGGCGTAATACTGTTGATTTTGATATGTATTTTTAGTTACCATTAATGCCATTATTCTAGCTTTTTCAGTTCAGAATTTCTGTAGCAGCATATACTAGAAATCGAGTGAATAAAAATACTGTAAATTCCAATAGACTTTAGATAAAATAACATTTTAATATCGAATTCTGTTTTCTTTTGTGGCAGTTATGCCAAATAAAGATGGCATTGGTACACGTCCAAGGAACTACCATTGTAAGGAGTTGGAAAAGGCTACCAAACATAAAAAAGGGAGGAAGTAATTTTTGCTAGGCATGCAAAATAATCAATTGATGCTGCAATTCAAAGAGTACAATGCTGGATTGTAAACTGTCTAAAGTTTCACATCATGTTTATGCTCTGTGGATGATAAACAAAAGTCATGTAGTTCAGTTAAGCTATTGCCACACAGACTCAACACAGACACAAATATTCCATCTTCATCATCATCATCACCAGTAGTATCTACTTATAAACCGAGTAAAGCCATTCAAGCCATGTCACCGGTTCAATTTCTGTTGCTGTTAGTTGTTGTGGATTTTAATAACATCATTAATGTACTTAAACCCTGTGTAAACCAGGATAGTCCCAAATGTGATGAAAAGACCACTAATTATAAAATCGTTCATTGTGCATTATGATTGTTTCTGGGAGACACAATTTGGCAGTGTGAAGTTTTATAATCAACTAAGTACTATCTTTTCCATCATTGACATCATAAACAAAGAACGGTCTCTATAAAGATCGTAAAAAGGGTTAGGTGGTTAAAGCTTCCTGTCATAACATCAAATGACAGATGAAGAGGGATGGCACGTGTGTATAGCAATACAGTGAAAACAACGTACAGAAAGGTGACTGATTACAGAGGAAGGAAAATAGAGAAGCTGTTTGCTATGGTAGCCAATGTATGAAAGCATAGTCGAGTTCAATTGCCATTATCGTCTGATGAATTATACTCAAGAAGACGTGGTATTATAAAGGAAAAGAACAGATGCATAGGCTGGAATATTACAAAGGTCCACATAAAATGTAGCTAATGAACGAATTGGCATGGATAATGATACTGGCTATAGTGAATGAATATGGTGGTATTATTGGGAAATGCGCATGACGATGGATCATTCCGTCATTTGTTTTGGCAGCAACAACAATCTGCTGTACAGTGTGCTGACATCGATGGTATTCCATTTTTATTGAATTGTGTCTAAACTTAAAGCTTGGATTGAGTGCCACATACCATACTTATACTAGTAGAGATTATGGTGTTATAGAATTGCCTAGCATAAGAACTTTAATTGACTACACACAGTCATTCAACAAGTGATTTCACTGCTGCTACATATGAGCACCTATACAAGGAAATCAACTTTTAAAACCTTAAAGATGTGGTATTACTCTACAGTGAAGCTAGAATCAAAGCAGATTTTGTGGTGCATTTTGTTGATATTGGAGACTTTGGAAATATCTTGATTAGGTAAAAAAAACACCTGATATTGTAATATATGCCCTGGCATTTATGGTACAATTCGAGTACCACTGGTTCCTTTTCCTTCCAATAGATTGACATTTAATTTTGCATCGTAAAGATATTGGTTAATTCTTTCCTTCTGCAGTTAACGAGTGGGGAAATCGCCAGGGAATGACATTCCCGATTTTAGTTTTGAATTGGATGCGCCTCCTAGTTTATTTTGCTGGCTACTGATGTGTCCTGTAGTTCAATGGAATCCACCCAAATAGCTCTCTTGTGCAGTCAGTGTTCTACAAATACGGTGCTTCTTGTGCATGCATGCAAGGTTATATGTAAGACAATTTTCTACATTTCCGATTTTGGCGTTTCCTTGTAATAATATAACGTGTATCCCAATACCCTTGTAACTGGTCAGGTATATCCTGCCCACCCCTTACGCGTGTTGAATAAAGTGTGTAGGCCATACCTGAGCATTTATTTTGTCTGGTAGTCTCGTTCCATGGTGTTGTGTTTTAAAACAACATCGCTTTTGAAATGTTTACATCGAACAATATATTCATTCATGTTGGAATTCGCTTTCCGCAGTTCAAATGATGTTGATTGTATTTGTCAAAAAAGGACTTCATTATGTCGGGTGTGAGTAGATGTTTATTGGTTTATTAATTGGTCCAAATGACATTGATTGTAAGAAAATGTACCAAATAGTTAAAATATTTCCATCCATGTTGTCAATGTCATTACGTGTGTTTACAATAACTGAAAATCTTGTATTCACTATGTTTCTAACTTGCACATTTTATCTTTCAGTAACAATTCTCGCCAGAGACTGCTTTTTACAAAATATTGTAAAAAATTGTAGCTTAAATCTCGATATAAATTTAGGCTGAATTATATGTATAGTCCCAGTCATCGTTTGAAATATCATCAACTTAATACTACATACCAATTGATACACTCCTTTTATGAAGATCCAATAAACATTGAAAACAAACATTTAATTTTGAACAAACTACCAGACTATAAGAAATTTATAATTAATTTATGAAATGCCATTCTTATAACGGTTACGGCGTGAAGCTCTAGGGGGCGCAAATCATTGCAATGTCTCCACAGTAATGCCCACATAACACGGACTAATCTCATAATGAAAAAAAGAAAAATGCTATGAAAAGTCTTGGTAGTATCATGAAATACTGACAATCTAAAAAGCTGATGGAAACAGGTGAAACTAGGAAATAATTTGAATGAATATTAGAAAAACAAGAATTAGTGATAAAATAAAATATAGCTCTTATGTAACATTTTTCGACTGCCTCATTGTTTTTATTGCTCAGTAATCTTCAGAATAATATCTTACAATTATTAGCGGGATACATAATTGTGTGAGAGTTTACGGCACGAAATACTAAATGTGTAAAAGTACAATATAAATAAGATTACAACTGAACATAGTTCATATATTATGGCGTTTAATTTGGTTTTCGTAGCATGAGGGTTTTAAAATGTTGATGCTCCGTGTAAAGTGCAACAAGATCCTTCCTAAAAAATGTAGTGGTCTACTAATCTGCATATATAAACAGAGAGACACGCTTGTAGTTGCTTTGATGTTATAAACGGCGATAATTAATATTAGGTAGCGAATACCTGTAGATAATACAATTTCCGAAATACAAATACAAATAGAGAATGTCACTCTGAGTCACGCACAGTAACCATAGTTTAAAAGGACGATGGTCGTGGCGCAGTCTGTGCTCGAAGTTCATGTAAACAATGTACATTACACACGTTTTGTGCATCACCATATGAAACAGGAAGCGGCGCGGCGACCACTGTCCTCATATACACACACACAAGTGTAAAGTGAACCAGGAATGCGCAAGAAGGCAAGTATAATGGAAAAAAAACTTCTAAACCAATTTTTCTCTCGACACTTGTTCATGTATTTTTAGTTTATTTTTGATGAATGATAATAGCCGGTATAAACATATAGGGGTACAGTTATTGAACACATTTTTCGTGGCAACGGAACTTGGGAGATAATACCATAATACCATTGCTTCTGCTATTGTGTGTGATCTACCATTGATGATTCCGGAGCAGCATGCCTGACAACGGTATATTGCCACCCAGGGTAGGCTATTTCGCTGTTGACATTCGAATGTCTTAACATTGCCGCTTATGCTCACTGCAACTGTTACGACAATAACTTCTGATACTTTTTTTCATCCCACCGCTCAGGTTCATTATCCGCTGCGGCATCCCAGCGTCGTTCAGCAATTTGTGATCGCTGGCATAGTAATTAGTATACACCACGCTAAAGTCTAACCAGCCATCGATATTTTGTCATCATTTCCCCCAATGTATTATGTTCCAACGGGCAAGTGACGTACCAAAGTTTCTGCTTACTCACGGAATTACTAATATTACGTTGGAGAAAAATAGTCGTAACAGGACAGAAAATGGTTACTGCAACCGAGTAAGGTCACAGCCATGTATTTTACCTGTTGTATTTTGCGCTTGCATAATTAACATTTCCATTTTAAATTCATTATGTTGATTTCACAATTGAAATTGATGTTAAACTTATGTAAATATGAAATATCACTTTAAAACTAGATTTACATTTGCAATCTTACTTCTAATTTTGAGAATGAATTCACATTAAATATATTTACCATGTACGTTATTTGGGTTTCTTCAACACAAACTGTTGCCAGTAGGGATTTCATTTCAACTATCAAGCTCTGCATTTTGAAATGTCGTTTTTATAATAACATGTAAATTCTTGATAAACAATCCACTATACACTATACACGCAAGAACTAGGATGTCTATTTTTAAGCTCTATGGTCACACTACAGAACTATGGTATTTTAATAACTCTATCCTATTGAATATTTAGTCAAATTCATTTTGGTATATGTCATATCACTTTTAAACAACGTTTAAAAAAATACTTGAAACATTTACGACCCACATTCTCTAACTATTTAACCGTTTGTATCTCCATGATGAGATACATAGGCCATTAGTGTCATATTTCTAGATATTTTTAAGCACAATATTACTTACTTACTTACCTATTAACTTACTTATTTACTTACGGACTTACTTATTTGTATGTATTCTAAACTAAAAACGAATAAAGCTTAGAATGAACTCCCGTGTGCTAAGAGTATTAGAGGCACAGTAAAAATTAATTGAAAATTACTTGTACTTGAGATATTGATGGGAACGCTGAAAACTAATTATGCAAATCAGACAATTAAAATGAACAGATTTGAGTGTAAAACTAATAAGATCTGCGAAATGTAACAGACCATCTATTTATCAAGTTTCATTGAAATGTGATCAGAACCAAAACATTATGAATTATTATGCTAATTAGGGAATTAATATGAACAGATTTTAACCCCAAACAGATCATATTGTACATTGTCAATGTACAAAGTTTCATTGAAATGTGATGATTAGTACTGAGATATCAGTGTGAAAGTTGAAAGTTGATAAATTATGCGAATTAGGTGAATAAATTAGGTGAAAAACTAAACTAATTGGCTCACTGCATAGTAAAAATTCATTTACAGGTGAAGATCAGTACTATGCAAAATAGGTAATTTATATTACCCTAAAAACTACCAGGTTTGTGCAGTGTCCTATATGACATATAGGTACCAATTTTCATTAAAATGTGATGATTAGTATTTGAGATATCAGTGGAAAGCCGGAAATTTGCACATCAAAACTGTGGTTCACTAGATATCATTGGAACAGTCATGGAACAGCTAAAATGAGCTAATTATCACGGAAATTATGTAATTAATATGCATGGATTTTTACCAAAACCTATTCAAATCTGCGCATTGGCCCAGAGCATGTATGCACCAAATTTCATCAAAATCTGATGCATGATTCTTGAGATATAGTGGAACAGACGGACACACACACACATACACCAACACACACCAACTGCAAAACCATGAAAATACATTTGCTATACATTTACAAATGTGTAATTATTTGTCCTTCGTCTCCTGTGGAAATTCGAGGACAGTATTTCCACGTCAAGTAAAGAATTCCGCATAACAAAAACGCGAAACCCTTTAAACCAAAGGTCAACCCAGCTATATAATATTTCAATAGGTCATTATCGTAACTGATGCAGTATCCTCGTACGGTAGTATCATGGAGCATTTTCCACTGTGCGCATGCGTTGTCAATTACATATCCGTATAACATAGGGAAAGGAACTGGTCCTATTAATACAATGTACAAGAATTATTAGTATTAGTAAGTAGTGTAAATAGATATGTTAACTTGCACAATTTACCAAACACCAACCACAAAATACAACACTGTCCGACAACCCCTGCATCTGACATAACACGAATCAATAAAATATCATATTAAGCGACACAAACGATAACATTTTGCCTATTCAACTAATCAGATACAAATGGAGTTTGTCATTCTGTATAGAAAGTGAAGAGAAGTTACGATACTTACCAATAAATCGTGTTAAAATAAATTGCATAGCTAATGCAAAGGTCTTATCTTCTTTATTTACAGATCTGAAATCAATAGAAATCCGACATCTAGAATTCACACTTTTGAGAAACTTATAAAACTACAACGCAAAATCAGTGAATAAATTATGACGTCTATATATTATATAGAATTGTGTGTCAGGTTATTATCACGTATAACATGCCATTTCATTCTTGGTCAGGACATCACCGATGTATGTGATGCAACTTTTTGACGATATAGTGCACGCATTTCCATATAATGTTTGCAACCTAGCACAGTAAATTTCTCATTATTTAATATTACCTGATAGTGAGGAGTACAGTTGGTACATTCCGAATCGAGGAAGATAAAGTATATAGAATCGTCATAATAACATACGGAATAAAGTACGAACACGATCTGCTGCGTTGACATGCGCCCTCTGTAGCCATTGGTATCTGGAACGTTCCATTTACCGTAGATTCGTTTGATTGAATGCAGCGACAATCAGCGAATGTCTGTAAATCAAAATAAATTTGTATTATCTGTACGGTTCGTTGTGTGTTTTATAATGATATATGCACATTCATTTACTACACACTTCGAAAGCGTATATACTGTGGGCAAACACCAATTACCAGTACCATCGTACTAATGTCCACACAAAAAATGAGATTGCGTTGTTAAGATTCACTTTTAAAATACTAATTATTGTCACTGCCTTCTGTTATTTTACAAATACAAATATGCATAATAACATAATTGTGCACTTTGAGAAGACGTATTTGATTGTTAAACGTTAAGCTCTACATTGTCAATAGTGGATTTTACTGTTCATATCCTACACGATGTTTTTTCTACAGTAACATACAAGATTATTCCTCTACAGTAATGTTGTGTACCTTAGCACATATCTTGATATTCACACTGCGACAGAATACACACACTACATTGTTTTACGTATTTGTACTTATGTTATCAGCTTTTGTGACCAGTTGATCAGACAATGCAATATATTGGCTATAAAAAAACATACACATTTAACAACTTGAAATAAAAAAAAAACAATAAAATTCACACAAAACCTTTGTGTTTTGTGTCATCGCTATTTTTAAGAATGTTCGATTGAATGCATCAAACATTCAATAAAAATAAACGAATTGGGTACTGAATAAAAAAAAATCCGGAATTGTATGTGATTCTGACTTTCATATACGACTCACACTCAATTATTTGTTAAACAATGATTCTTCTTACCATATTGTCATTCATTTGTGTACATCCCGCATAACAAGGCGATTTATAAGTCACATCATCAGAACCACACACAGGCTGATACAGGTCATATTGACAATGACAACTCGCTATGCAGGCCATAGTCCAACTTTGATCGTTTATTCTAAAGTAAACAATGACAAAATACTGAAATACATGTATTTATTAAATATGTGTGTACTTACATACATTTATTAGAAACTATATATTCACCCTTTTTTGAAAGGTGTGTCAGCCATGTATACAATTTAAACGGCGGTACGCGCCACACAAGCACGAGATGTATTGGTCTCATATAAACAAAGATGGCGATTTTGATTGTTTCGAAATCAACGTGTTACCAAGCTTTAATTTGGTATTTTTAGGTGATTGGAAGGTATCGATGGAGTCACCGGCGGTGATTAGTGCAAATCGCGTCCAGGTCAAACTTCATCCTTGTTATTTCCTTGTTATTTTTGAATTCGTTCAGCATACCCTTTGTTGTTTGTTACACCACTGCAACCAAACAAATATGCCAAACTTAATATGCCGGATACACCTATTGCAATCATCATAAACTTTGTCAACGCATCTTCTTGTATTATTTTGAACCATTTAATAATATAACCACCTAAACATGCTCCAATGCCGTATGCTATCCCCAATCCTATTCCTACATAGAGAAGAAACAAATGTTAATGTTGGTATAGATCATAAAAAGTGTTGTTAATATTAATATAATGTATATTATTATGTATCCACATCGCCATAAGTTACATAATACCATTTATCGATATTGCATGGGGTAACTGCATCATACCATATTAGGAGATGGTAATTCTAAATAGGGAACAATTCCGCGGTATTTGCAAAATAAATTCATAGCAAGAATTTTCACCATTTTGCTCATTTCTGGTCTTCCTCAACATAGATTGACATTCAGTGTGTTTTGATCAATACTTTACATTAAAAGTCATAATATTTACTTACCTGCAGTCAGATTTGCAACCAATGGTGTCATGTAGAATTCTTCTTGGATGAATTTAGGTGTAAAAGCCCCCAGGGCGATGCCTATCCCTAAGTCAATTGCAAATACCACTGTAACCAGCATAAACTGTGGATTCATCATCAGATTGTACAACGTTTGCAAAACATCTACAGGAAAATAAATCATTATTTACCAATGTATACCTATCTGAATATTTGATTTAAATTGTTCCGTAATTTGGAGACTGAGAATAAAACATTTAAAATGTTCAAGTGGTTTTAAAGTGGACAAGCTTAAAAAGTGTTTATACTCAGTCTGCATAGTGTATATTATATTATGAACACATTTGTAGTGTAGAAAAAATTCAAGCTCAATTAAATAAAAGTGGAATATCCTGTGATTTAACACAGAAATGTTCGCTGTGTTTATGTCAAATAAAGGAGGGTAGGTATGGTATAACTTGACTTAAATTCAATTAAATATTAATATGTATATTTTGAATATAGTGAGGGTCGTCACTTAGTAGGTGTAACGTGAAAGAAAGTTGTCATAACATAGACACCACAAACCGACATCTTCACACGGGAATTGTGTGTTTTGCCTTTGGGTTATTTCATATGTGTTATATCGAGTGCGTCTTCTCAGTATGGGCCATAAATATATTTTTTACTGATTTGACTATGCTGTGTATGGAACTGTCTGTAAATTGTTTTGTTCTTGTTGTTTGTTTTATCGATTGATGTCAGTCGTTTGTTTTGTGTCCTGTAAATTTGTTTTTATGACTCTTGTTCAACGATCTATGGTTAGGTTTGTTATTTCTACTGTGAGAATGAGAGTGGCTATCCAATTGCAAGAGAGGTGAGCTTTTAGGAAGTCTACCCAAAAGATGCTCTTAACATACAAGTATCCGGACAAAACCTATGACCATCATGATTTCAACCTCAAGGTAAACTACATTCTGGCATTAGAGACAGACATTCACATTGATTGACTTTATTCTAGCAATTTAGGTCATAGCTTCACTGGGATTCCCATTATCATTACACTTCTATATAAATATAATTGTTACTAATTATTACACCAATATTTTTATCAAAATGGAAGTGAATGCAATAAAATGACACTATATACACAAAACAAGTAGAGATGATGATGTGTTAGTATATTAATAGTCAGTGAAACACTACTTACCCTTTAACGTCGTCATAAATGCCTGTACTGATGGAATTGATTTCTTTTCTCGTCTCTCTTTGTTATTCTTGTTGGTAATTTGATACCGACGGACTTCACAATTTCTGGTCAAATGTTTCGGTATCATGAAGAACGGAAATGCCACGAGGACCATGAATGGAATTACAATGACAATTCCCAGCCACCAAGCACCAAGCCATGACGATGTCATTGGTTTCAAGTCTGCAGTATCCATATTGTTCCTGTTAATATCAATGTACACATATGCACTGGCCCCGGCAGCCACCAAACCAATAATAGGCCCAAATCCCCACATCATATTGACAAGTCCTGGAGAAATTAGAAATAAAAGATGAGGCAGCATAACTCGTATATTTTTCAATTGAATGGTGAAACAAATTTCTCTGTGATTTAAGGTAGAGATGCAGTTTACCTGACAGGTATTTTAATTTAGTTAATTAGGAAACCAAGATTACCTCACTTGTCCACAAAACTATATATTTCCGGAAAGCTTATTGTATGAATTTTAAAATTTTGTATTTATGAACACTGTAGTGTGCACAAAAATGTGCTTTTTTGGTGAAAAGTGATTAAAAAAAATAGCTTCTAATCCATGCTTCTCTTTCCTGTCAAAATTCGTCTATCGGTACATCTGTTTACTATGAAGAAAGTGCCGTCTTGAAAACTGTCTAACAGTTGTCAATTTTGCAGGGCAGCAGCTCAAATTTCACTACTTTAAGTGTATGCATAAATTAATACCCAGGCTAGTAGTCTGTACGATTGTTGTAACACTGTTCAACCATAAACAATACCCCGACAGCGTTTTGAAGATGAACACATTGTCAATCATTTGTGAAAATTTCAAAACAATAGGTCAAAGCTTCTAGGAGCTATTTTTTTAAAGTTCTGGGATGTGCTCTAAAAAAGAAGCTGAGATAATTGCTAATTTGCATAACCATTCACTCAGTAAGAAGTTTGCTAATGCTCATAATTAAAATGAATGTAACAGTTCCAAATTTAAATGTATTATCGTTTTGTTAAAAGTTAAATATAGTGCATAATATGGAGATCCCGTCATTTCCTTTTTTTACCATGTTTTCTTTTTATTATTTATGTACAGCATTGCTAAATCTTGCTGAGCATTCAAAACAGAATGTTTGCACCTGTTATATATTTTTTAAAATCATTTTTGTGTATGTTCCAATATTCACAATTCTACAAAATGTTAACAGTCATAGCCAAGACTGTTTTGATAATAAAAAGCAAAAAAGAAATGTTACTCCCAAGTGCCCACCAACCTACATCTGTACCTTAATTATAAATGCAAATAAGAATAACCACCTTTTATTGATTGCTATTGTGCATGAATGTGCGCGTTGTGATTTATTGAGTATGTACAGTATAATACATCGCCTGTATAATGCTTTGGCAAAATTGCTGTGATTATCTATATTTTACAATGTGTTCAGGGTATTGCACTTTAAAAAACGCTTATTTGAAAGGTGTCAATCGCAATTTTAAAAAATCGAACAAGCAGTCTGAAACGAATTAGAATTTTGCACTACTAATCTACTACTAAATTATTAATCATTTTTTTGAAAGAATTTCACAATGTTCGATTTCATATCAATAATAATATACGACCTTTATCATGGCATGTCACCGAGCAAAATGTGTGGTATGAATAATTGATCACACCATAGAAACCAGTGAATGTCAGACTCTTATCTAAAAAAAATATTCAGCGACAACAATTTTCAGTATTCCGGCGACATATACGTTCGAACGTCATTGATCCAAAATACACAGCTCTATTTATAGGTTACTCAATGATTAGGACATGTGGGCGTTTTATAAGTAAGTCGGTACCCTGCAGTTGTCTTTAATGTAGAATAGTAGTACACACTGAATACTGTCGACACTTTTACAGCAGCAGTTTTGGGGCAGCCAATTTGCAAATTTCCTAGCGAATCGGCTAACTGATTGGATGTTGACTGAACAGTTGGCTTTCGAATCTCGCTGGCGCCGACTTGCGGCTACACCCACTCTGGGTGAAACTGTATTTGGGCCTGGCAGTATCGGCTTGATGTCGTTACATTACTGATTGTGATCAAACATGTCTAATTCAAAATATGATGTCAGCATCTTTTATTTTATGTTTTTGACATATTGTCTTAGACCCTGCAAATAGAAGTGTGCATAGAATCATGGGAAAAATCTGTGTGCATTGCCGTGTGATAACTGTCATAAATTTGATTGACAGGTCATACTTGTTGTCAACTCTGAATGAACAGTTTGAATCTACCAGGTGTGCTTGAGATTTACATAACAAAAGGTGTTTACAACTTTGAAAGAGGAATTTGAATCTACCAGATGTGCTATTATTTGAATAACAAAAGAAGTTTACGATCTCCCGAGTTTCCTACGTGACACAGCTGCTAGCAAGATCACATTCTGACTGGCTTATGTGGAAACCCAGGTGGTGTCACTGAATCTGGAATTTAGTATCCTGTGTGTTGCTGCTATTGTGAGACAAGTTATACAGGGTACAACCAAAATTCTGTGGGACTGTTTGAGCTGCCTGGCGATCCCTGCTTTTAGTGGCACCCTCCAGAATAACAGTATTTCTCTGCAAGCAAGACTCCTGTATTTATTTATTAGTTGTTGTGTTGCAGAAGCCATTGACTGTCATCCATTTCCACATACTGGAACTGTCAGTTATCACCAATGCACACTTCCCTAAGCAATCTTCTATTTTAGTGACTATTCATTGTAATTTTCTGTGCTTTATTTCTTGTAATTATTTTGAGAGGTATTAAAGCCAGGAGCTTTAACTCGATATTTTGGTCTATGTGTATTTCATTTCCAGTAATATTATCTTGTCAACCCCGTACTAGCAGTCCCATACTCCTGTCCAGTGTGAGTTCTGTGGGTGCCCTCTCATTACCGATAAGCAGGCCTTACACACTGTGACAATTGAACACATCGTAGTGGGAAACAAGCAGCCACTTCAACTTGATGACAATGGAGTCAAAACATAGACTGAATAACAGTGGTGATGTTAGGCTTGATTCTTTCAATTCTAGAGAGGTCCAGATTGCTATGTATTCCATCGCATAGAGGAGACGCACCATAGTTTCATTCTGAAGATGTTTCCAGGATTGATAGATATTTGCAACACCACAGACCATTTTGCCTTCATCTATATGACCTCTGTGAAGTCGCTTATGGGGGAAAACTGGGGTTTCGCACTTTATTTCGACTCGCCCATAATCTAGTGTTTGAACGGTAATACGAGATGATTACAGTGTAATTTACTGTTTTGACCACATATTTTTTCTGGAATAATGCCCCATTGTCTGTGGTGATGAATACAGTGTAATTTACTGTTTTGATCAAATAATTTTCCTGGAATAATGCCCCATTATCTGTGGGGGATGAATACAGTATAATTTATTGTTCTAACCAAATAATTTGCATGTAGTAACGCCAGTAAATCTGGCTAGTTTTTATTTCTGGTCCAACGGAGTAAAACACTGGAGTAAAATTTGATTGAAGTTGTAGACAAATTCTAAATAATACCACATGTGAATATGGGGCGAATGACAAATTGATCTAATGGCAAAGAATGGAAAAGCAAGCGCACGTTTGTGTCTTCACCTATGATATAACCTAATTCACCCCATGGTGAATACAACATTTTGCGCTGTAGCAAAGCGGATAAACTATCAATCAGACAAGACACTAGTAGAATTATATGAACCCAGCTCAATAACCCACTCAGAATATCACTGGGAATGTCACATTACTGTAATCAGTGCCCTGTCTGGATTACAGGTGGAACCCCCTAGACTCGTTCATATTAAATAGCAATTGTTGGATTAATTAACTTGGTGGTAGAAATTTCAATGTTACAGTGATCAAATAACACCCCAAACGGAGACAGTATGTCTAGAAATGACTAGTATGACATAGGTAACCATATGGTGTAAATTGCACATGGAACATACTAATAATCACCTCTGTAAATTAATTACTTATCTCCATATTGCACAATAATATTTCCCGTGCGCTTTGGTCAGATCAACAACTCAAAGGCTGTTAAAATTACAAAAATTAAACTTACCTAGATATAAGGCTGATGTAGTGTGCTTGGCAAAATCATCTATAAATGAGTTTCCAAGTATTGATATAGGACTATATCCAGCCCCCGTCATCAATGCACCAAACACAAAATATAAATATGCTACATAACTTTGTTGAACATTAACTGTATCTTCTGATGTTGAACTGGTTGTTTCATTGGCTAAATCATTTCCACTGTTGTTGGAACATAGATGTATATTTATTATTTGTTCAGTCACTGTTTCGTGTATGTATTCATACGGACCGAGGGTTAAATGTGGCAGTATAGATATAAATAATCCTGCCGCAACTACCAAGGTTCCAACTGAAATCCATCTTGGTCGATGAGCGTTGGGTCGCCCACAGAGATAACCACAGAACAACATAGTGACAGGTGGGCCCACTTGGTACATACTGCTAATGGTACCAAGCTGGGCACTATTTAGATTATATCGCTTTTCAATTGTAGTCAATATACCTATCTTGTATCCAGCAATAAATCCATTGAGACCAACGACGACCATCAGGCATG